GGGCCACTTATAGTCACGGTACTTAAGTGTGCACCCGTTTACATTGGTATTGCGAGGAAGCGATCCTTCCCCTTTCCCCTCTCTTCAAGTCTTCACTCACCTAAACCCTAAGTGTTGAGCTCCCTCTCGCACTATTAGCAGTCAAGGTGGCAGTCCTGCGCAGCCATGACGGAGCCACAGGCTGTGAACCCCGCGATGATGCTCACGGAGCTGGCGGGCCTTGTACATGGGCTGCAGGACGAGGTGCGACGCTTGGCAGAGGTGCAAGCAGCGACCGCGGCAGCTGTGCGCGAGGCCCCGCCGGTACCCCCTGTGGTACACGCTGAACCGGAACCGGTTGTGAACCGGGAGGTAACGGGGAAGCTTAAGCTTCCCCAACCCAAAACCTTTAATGGTTCCTCCACTGTGGGTGCAGTGGAGAACTTCTTGTTCGATTGCATGAGGTATTTCCGTGGCATGCACGTTTCAGCAGATGCTCATGTCGATTATGCAGTAGGTCTTCTTGAGGGGGGTGCGAAAACTTGGTGGCGCTTCATATGCATGCGTCTTGAGGGCACTCCCGAGGAGGAATTGTTGCAGGATTGGACGTATTTTCACGATGAGCTTATTGCGCGTTTCCGGGCTATTAATGCCACCCGCCATGCGAGAGACAAGATGGCAAGCCTGAGACAGGATGGCAGTGTCAGGATTTACGCTCAAAAATTCCAGGAATTATCCATGCAGATCCCCAACATGCACGACGAGGAGCTACTTGACCGCTTCACCCGGGGGCTCAAGCCGCGCACGCGCATGGAAGTTACGGTTACCATGCGCGACCCACGCACCTTCGAGGAAACGGTCAAGCTCGCTGATCGCATGGATTCTCTCTACACCCCTGGGTTTGGTTTGGACCGGCAGCCCAAAGGGCGGTTCGCCTCAGCAGCTAACCCGACCCCAATTCCCTTCCGGCCTGCTGTCCCTGCTTCTGACCCCAGGTGTCCCTATGGAGATTGATGCATTGAGGCGTAGGCTGCCCCCGTTAACCGACTCCGAAAGGGATCGGTTACGGAAGATTGGTGGTTGCTTCAGATGCAGGCAAACCGGGCACATTGCAACTAACTGCCCAATTAGTACCTCTGCAGGACGCCCTAGTGTCAACAACGTTGATCACCGGGCGCCACCCACCGAGCACCCCGACCTCATCGACCTAAACTCCGAGCCTCGCTGCTCGGAAAACTTCACGCCCCAGTAGACGATCCCGAGACGTCCGCTGGTGGCACTGACAGGGACCGTCGGTCCCTTCCCAGGAACCGCAAGGCTAAATCACCACCCACGGGCCCTACCGGGCCCAAATCTTCTCGCTTGATTTTCTTGCGTGGTCAAGTCCTAGGTCGTGCATGCAGGGTTTTGATTGATTCCGGTTGCTCTGACATTGTGATGTCATCTGAGTTTGCGCGTGGTTTGAACATCGGTTTACGGTCTGACGATAGCTTGGACCCCTTAACTCTAGCCAACGGTTCACAGCAACCGGTCAAATGGACTACTCAAGCCGTGCCATTTTCGGTCGGTTCTGAGTATTCCGAGGACCTACATTTCACCGTTACAGACGTAACATATGACATCATTTTGGGTCTTCCGTGGCTAGAGTCGGGTAACAAGTCTGTCGATTGGTTAAGGCGTACCATTTTCTTCGTACATGCAAGCAGGGTTGTAACGCTGGAGGCCGGTAAACCCTGCAAGCGCGCATTGCGCAAGGAATTTGGTGATCGCCTGCTTAACTCTGTGGAGATTAACAAACTTTTAAAAAAACAATCACCGGTCTTTCAAGTTGTTCCCAACGTTACACCTGACACTGCTTCCACGCATGCACCGGAATACGAACGTTGCGAAAAACTTAAGGCTGAATTTCCGGACCTTTTTCCTCAGGATCTACCGGGCACTCTCCCTCCTGACCGGGGTATGCCATTCCACATTGAAACTCTACCGGGCGCTACCCCGGTCAACCGCCCCATCTACCGGTTGTCCCCCTCAGAGTTGGAAGAGTTGCGGCGCACTCTGGATGACCTTTTGGCGAAGGGGTTCATCCGCCTGTGACGTTTGCCCTAAAGCCTCAGCTATAAAGCGGCAATACGATCAGAGAACGAAGCGGAAACTCTGTCGCCTATGCAGCAGCCATGGAAAACCTGGAAGCGCCCTCTTGCAGAAACCAGAGTTCTGTGTTATATGCTGAGTTTCGCTTCCCTTCCCCTTTTGGTGCCAGCCCGCAGACCGGACTTACCCTGGCTGGGTACTCGAC